GGACAATTTATCTAAAGGGATTATCTTTTAGATCTATTCTATCGACTAGACCTGCAAGAATAGGCTTGTTGGAGAGGGACAAAACCTGGCCCATGAACGTATCTATGAGTAACCATTACTTGGATTGCATTAACTTGTAAACTATACAAAAAAATCTACAAATTGGAACCATGCAATTCCATCCAACAAGTATGTTCATTGCAGAATAAGAAAGCACAATAGTGAAAGAGAAATTTAATATATAGAATAATGCTTCCCTGTTAAAAGGCTGGCATCAAAGCATATCCATCAAGTGAAAAGAATTATCACATGATATACAGAAACAAAGAGCCAGTTTAAGAGCAATGGACCTTTGTGATGGATCGAGCAAACTGACTTGGCTGTGAGTCATTATCTTCAGGTGCATTCCAACTCTCGACAATTTGAGGCAGTTTGCGGAGATTTGCCAGCAACCTTTCCTTCATTATCTGAATCAGCTTCATATGAATCTCATCTCGGTGAATCTTGTAATCCTGCATTTAGGCAGAGTATTTGAAAAACAAACACATCCTAAACAAAGCATTTCAATAGTCGCATGATGTTCCAATAACAGAACCCAAATTTTATATCATAAATTACTTAGCAGACATTGACATCAGACACTTTTGCACATTCAGTTAATAAGGTTATCAATTTTGTTAAATTATACTCCTTGTCTAAGAAGCACGAACACGGACACGACACAGAAACGTCAACATGTCATTCTAAAAAAATTAGGATACAAGAACGTGTGTATATATATAAATATAGCATGAGTTGTATACAAATGTTATATATAAATGTTATAAAACTCATGTATATATGTTAAATAAACATGAGTTTTATAACATTTATATTTAAATTTTGTAGACTTGAACAAATAAATATCACCACCCAAATTTAAATAATTAAAATAATCTAAATCTAATTATATTTCTGGTTGAATTTTCATATTTATATAGGCCTTATATGTGTTTTATATGTATTTTTGTAAATGCAAAAGTAAAATAAAAATTATATTGTAATAATCATTATATTTTCACAATGTAACATATATCATGGCTAAAATAGCATAATAAAAAGATCTAACCTATTATAAATAAGAGACAGTAATAAGAAAGCATAGTAAGACCTAACAAATTACTCTTGTTATACACTAAGTTATTATGAATAAGAGGCCGACATTATAAATTAGACATTATAGTAGACTTATTATATCTTATTCATAATTTAGGTTCATTATAGTAGGAAGACATTATAATAGTAAGACATTATATCTGTAACAGCAGAGATCAAAACACAAATATAAAAGATGATGAATTAATTAAAAAAATAAAAACGATGTGTTCCTGCTTCCCGGTTCCTTGTACAGCTAGGGTCTTCAAATTTAGACAGACAAAGAATAGGGACAAATTGACACAGCAAGAACACAAAAAAATTTCTAAGCATAAAAGACTAGGACAACATGGGTACAACCATACAACAACAATATTTCAAATCTCGACCATACCTGTAGGAAAAAAAGACAGATTTCACCATGTACCGGTAATGAAACATAGAGTTCAATACCAGGACAACATTGCTGGTCTTCACTTTTTATTATTTTATTCAATGTCACTAAGTGGCATGGTACGGCAATATACTGATTTTGTACCAGTTTGGTAGGTTATCGGAACTCATGCCAGACCAAGATTTATATCCTTGATGAATAGTTTTCATATAAAAAAAGTTTGGAACAAAAGTTCAAAAAGGATGCTAAGAATTTTTTTTAACTTCAAACTTCTTAAAATTCAAGATTTGCAATTCCATGTAAACGTACTAAACCGGTCAGTCAGGGCTCATACCAAGTGTCGGTATGAGTATCAGTACCAACACTCTACTCATACCGACACTCGTGGAATAATTTTCAAATAAAAAAAAGAATAAAATTTCAAAAAGGACACTAAGAAGTTTTTTATCTTCAATCTTCTTAAAATTCAAGGATTGCAAGTCCATGTACAGGTACTGTACTGATTGGTTAGGGCTCATATCAAGTGTCAATACGTCAAGACATACCAAGTCTTGAAAAGAAAATCTAAAAAGGTTGAAAAGAATAAAAAACAGATATAATATTATATATATACCGATAGCCTGTTGGACTTATGTGTACCACCTTACCATATAGTACCGGGCAGTAATGCAAACCTTGTTAAAATGCATAATTTCCATAAAGAGATTTCAATCAAAATGCAACAGATATAAAAGGTATCGATATATTGATATTTCCTATCATAATCTAATGTCATGACCAAATGATGATATAAGATTTTAAAGAGTATATGTTGTAAAAGGAATAAAGTAAATAAACTAATCAGCTTGGGTATACTAGTAATATAAATAGTTAAAGAATTTGCAATGTGACCAACACCAAAAAAGGTTCTAACATGGACATTCATAGTGGTGAATTGTTCAGATGCAAACTAGCGTATCGCCCAATATTATGCCCATGGTCTGCAGTACCGAACTGTACCGCCCGGTACGGGCGATACATACCGGTCCGACAGGTTGTCGGTACGCGGACCGCCTATTACCAGTCCGAGTGCACTGTAGCACTGTGCAGAGCTACAGTACTCAGCACACCTGAGTATACCGCTCGGTACACCTGGGTGTATCGCTCGGTATACCGTACCATACCGGTACCGAGCCCAGGTCGAAACACCGGTACGGTACGGTATTGCGAACCTTAATTATGCCCTTAGCTAAAGTGGATCATGGTAATATCGACCGGTATAGGCTGGTACACGTTTAATACAAGTTGGCTAAAGACACAGTATGAGTTGGAGCACATTTAATACAGGCTTGATGCAGGCAGATATAAGTCCTTACCTTGTTTCAATAAGCCAATCCTAGACCTAGCTCATTCCTTGGGTGAAAACCCTAAATTCACATAAAGCATTGAGTAAATCTTGATTCACAGTATATAATCCAGTAAGCTTAATTTATTCAGCAATACAACATATCATAAAATAAGCCCAGTATTGACAATATATAAAACAATTTTTTCAAGTTCATTGTTGGTATTAGTACATCCTCCAGTCTCCAATGCCTGCCAGTGTCATTTTAGGTTTACTTAATGGGATTGTATTGCTGTTGGAACTTGAAACATTGTGTTTGGATCATTGGATAAGCACATGTTGGCATTTTTCTAGTGAGTTTTAATGTAACATGTCTTTTATTAAAATACCATACTTGTCATGTGTTATTATGGCTCTAGAGGAAGTGGTGATCATGATTTGTATTATAAAATATAAATCATATGAAATCCATATAAAACCAAAAAGGTCCAGAAATTTTTTTTTATTGATCTACCATCATACAGTGTGCACTGACACTCAATATGGTACAGTATTGAAATTATAACATTCAAAGAAAAATATGGTACTAGATGATATGCCATAGGACAATCCATGGTTTCAAATCTTATACCAATTTTAAACGCTAGGTATCGTTGTTGTGATATTCAGAAGTGCCTGAAGCATAATGATGTCCTACACAATAGTGTTATTTCGTTTTGTCTGGAGAATGAAGTCAAGATAGGACCATTTAACTAAATAGAGTTTCTTTCCACAATATGGGAGTGCAATCATAGAACCAATAGGAACAATATCGCAATAAGATAGAGAAAGAAAAACATCTCAATAAATATAAAATTATTATACCTGAGCCACTCGATCCATCTCTAATGTTAACAATGCTTTACGAGTCTCAGGCACTTTCAAGAAGAGAACTCGCTGAATCTCTTTATGTACATGCATGGAACAATGTGAAAAAATTAGAACTACAACATCAGCAGTTATAACCAAGCAAATATGACGAAGACAATGAATTGATCACTTGATCATGTCCCTGAAGTTTTCATTCAGTTCCAGATGACACACGTCATCAGATCTTAATTTTGTTTTGAGTTTTTTAAATGACCAGACCTCTTATTCTTTTAAAGAAAAGAGCCAAACTTATGGCCAACTTCTCTGATTGAATCAAGCAGGTTTAAGGAAACCAATCCTTTATACGCTAGTGGCCAGAACAGATGGCATTATAATATTGGAAATTAAAAGATACCATATTAACCATAATATATAGTGGAATACCGATTCACACAAATCTTGATAGAAACCATAAATAAAGTTTCTCATATTTTCACAAAATGTAATTAATCAACAAATATATACATTAGTAACAAATACAAACAGATGTAAGAAAAGCATGAAGAATAATAATACTTCATCTACTATCAATTAGAGATTGAACTTTCTAATTCAAGTGATCATCATTTTTTAATTCAAGTTGTCACCAAATTATCTTATCAAACTTCAGTCACAAAGATACAGACAACACATCAATGTATGACCTGAGTCACTTCGAGCAAAGAAAAACCCACAAATTTCAGGTCCTAGAACTTTTCTACATTACCATTCAAATATGCCAGACTTCAATTCAATGATTTAAATCTCAGACCAATACTTGTTCCAATAACTTGCTGAATTGGTATGGTACCAGTCTACCAAGTGACACAAAAATACTGCAAATTATCATTATGTAAAATAATTAATAACAAATATATTTTGTGGCATCATTAAATATGTTTCGATACCAATACTTGGTCAGATCAGTAAATATGGGTCTCCTACTGACCACAGTTGAGACTTGAAACTTTTTTTCAATTAACAGTAAAAATTTCAAAAAACAAAAACAAAATCCAGCAAGTACACCAATAACAATGACAATGACAAGTTTGTATCACAGTATTGATCAATCAAAAAGGTTAATTAATGATATCCAGATAACTGCTTTGAATAAATGCTGTAATTGAGTAAGCAGAAGTTTACCTGGTATGATAGCATAAACAAAACTGACAATCTGACTTGCCAAAGCTAAATGCTTAGAAGTTATGGACTTCAAACCTGATACCTGCAACACATTATCAATAAAATGAAATGTATAATTTGCCACTGGAAGCATAGTGGAACAAAAGGTACCTGAGACCAATATTGGATTGAATTGTAAAAACAAGAGAGAATAGAAAGATCAATTCTAATCCAGTTAAGAGCACAGTCTACATGACACCAACCACCAAATTGCTCAATGATGAAATTCTATCATTCTTCCTATTACTTGCATCGGCAAGATGGTCAACTAATAATATATTTATAGACAAGTTCATTTATAAGACAACATATGTAGCTACCAGCTGAGGAATAGAATGACCAAACTGCAGATTAGAGAAGCAATCTCAATGATGTCAAAGGATTCATAGCCTTAAAAGAAGAATTGAGATGCAAGGTTTTACCAAAGCAAGCTAAGAACAAATTAAATGCAGCAATTTGAAAAGAAAGCAAACAAACAAGCAGATGCATCAAGCTATAACTATTTAATCTAAAATTGCAATATTGATTACCAACAAAACTGCTAAAAGTTTATCCCACCAAAGCCTACAAGGTGAAGTGTGAACCGATACAGGTTGCGGAAGATAACACAATTTTACAGAACTAAAAAGTAAGTTGACAAACATTAATTAGCATCAGACCCCACCATCTAGCAGTATCAGTAAACAAAGATAAAAAAAAGGATGCAAAATTATTGGAAACAAAGATGTGAATCAATGTTGAAAACAGTTATAACCAGTTTTTGCTATCATAATGTATACAAACTGGACGACACATCAACCCACAGATAAACCAAGGGGGAGACAAATTTGAGAAGCAAGAACAAGAACCATACAGGAAAGGAATATTTTAAGCACTCAGGCAACTGCCGTTCGAAAATACAAGCACCATCCTGATGTCTATCAAGATGCTTATCATGGCAATGCAAAGCTCTCACTGTTGAGGATCATTTCATATACAACGGCCATGCAGTGCGAAATAGTCATGCCCTCATGAGCAGCATGACATCAATTGAAACCAACCTATAACTGGTATGAACATGGACTTTATATTTTGATCCTTGAAAAGCAAACAAGATGCCCATAAACAGTTCTGTCAATATATTTGGAAGACCATTGACATTATTGTTGCAGCAAACAATCCTGATAATGACATAAACATTTAAAATAAAAATTAAACCATAGGATACCTGCATGGCACCAGCACCGAGAACAAGCTGACAAGTCCTCATGTTGAATAGTTTCAACATTTCCACAACACGATGAACCACTTCAGATGACAATGCTGGCAAGAACTTACTAATATCAACATACTCGGATAACATCTTTAACAATATCAAACCACTGCAGATGAACATTCAAAGTCGAAGTTCAGGAACATGGGTCAACAACAACATAAAGATTACAAACAAAAGCATAAAGACAAATAAATCTACAACGTTGAGCATCCTAATTATTTACTCTTTGTCAAGCAAAGGTGGTTTTGTAATGGATAGTTGAAAATGGATCAAAGAGGTAGTCTAATTGTATGGATAACTGACCAGTTTACCATGTGATAGCCAACACCCCGATACACAAGTGTTTGAGAAGATGCTCTTCCATGTTCATTCGTATTAGCATCACTATTCCGTTTAGAAGTTGCAGACGCTGCATTGGTTTCTTGGTTAGACCCAGCTGATGGAATGGGTTTAGCTTGATTGTCTCGATCTACAGTTTGGCCAGAATCACTCTCACTAATATGTTCTTGGCTAGCAGGAAAACCTGCTTCAACAGTCCCAGAGTCAGGATTGCTTGACGCTAGGTCACTATTGCTTAATAATGCATCACCAGAAGATAATGAGAGAACTATGGCCTGAAATTCATCAGGAACATCCACGGCAACCCAAGTTTCTTGATCAAGGACTGCCTTAATCTTTGTCATCTACAAAGGATCACCAAACAGGTCTAGCAATGGTCAAATGCAGCTAAATTACAACAAACAAGCTTCTACATTCAAACAACATAAAATCCAACTTATAAAAGATACACAGAGTTCATGTGACTCACTCGGGAATCATGTTGAAAATCAACAAACGCTTTTGACTGTGACTGAAGAGTTCCACGAATGCTATAGCCTAATCTTCCACCAATCTGCCAAAAATGAATTTTTATAGCCAATATATCAGTAAAAATAAATCACAGGAGAAGACTAAATATACCTTCTCTGTAGCTGCAATAAAGTCCTGAGTTATGTCATAAATGCTTAAGAACTCTTGGAGTCTTAATTTGGGGTGAAGAAGAGCACGAACACCAAGGAGTTTAGCCCATCTTCCATGTGCAGCATCACAAGCAGAAAATACGGCTTCTGTGTTTTCCCGCAGTACATCAGCACTGAAATTAATTACCATTATCAAAATGACCAACAAAATCAATTGCAAACTAGCAGAACAAAACCACATTATGACAGTTCAGAAACTGCAAATATTTTGCAATTTCTGAATGAACTTATAAAAAAGACAACCACCTTACAGCAAGAATTCCTGTACCTGATTACAAAGGACAGAACACTAGAGCAAAAAATTCAAGAAGATAACTCTTTAAGCAAATAACCTAGTACATGCAGACAATGTAACACCATAGAGCATCTATACAAGTGAAAAAATATGTCAAAATGGTCTTGAACAAAATAAGTTATGCCGATCGACAAATGAATTAAAATCTGCAGTTTCCTATGATATTAACAATTTCGATGGCAAGAATTTACCAAGTCTCTAACAGGGAGGAGAGAGAGAAGCAACAAGAAAAATATCATGTTGCACCATGGTTTGCAGGATGAGGAATCCAGATTAAATTGGTTAGAAAACTTCTTGAAACTGTAAAAAAACAGAGATCAACTAGTTTTGGCAATAACCAACCACAGCATAATTGAACTTCACCGTTTACCAACTGGTATTGACTGAGTCTGCTAGATCCAACTGTTCATGCCAATTACGGATAGGTCTGACCAGTTTCAACTAGTTAAAAATCAAGTTCTAATGGTTTTGGCCAATCCAACCAGTTCAGACAGCTTCCCCATGGTTTAGACAAGTTCCATAGCGTAGACAATGTCCACAGTTCCTGCTGAGTTTGGTTTCTAATTCTTTTACTGTCTTAACCTATCTTAGGAAAATCCAAGCCCATTTCAAACTTCTCTTATCAATTACCCTAGTACCACCCAAAAAAGTACCTAATATGGTCCTTTCCTGTTCCCAAAAGTGAAATAGGACTTGGAAAACCTTGGCCACCTGAACAAAAAAGAAGAAATAGAAACTGGTTTCTGTTCAAATTCGCTTAAATCAGAATAATGTCAAAACCAAATAATTAAATAACATCATTCATGAAATTTCTCATTATTGAAAAAGACTAGGAATTCGAAGCACATAAACTCGAGAAGAGCATATCAGCAATGACATTTCACTCAAGTTCAATAATATCATAGACATAGGCAGTAAGCAACATATTTCACATTAGAGCAAAAGAGTCCCAGGCAACGATATTATATCCTCTAGTTCTGAGAACTAACCAAATTAACCCCGAACAACAAGTTTTACAAGTTCCTACCGAGTTGACTCTGAACAAGGCTAGCAAATACATGAATCTTCTTCCATTATTCCAAAGACCCTTCATGATCATCTCCTAGCCTTTTTTTATTTTGCAACTGTTCCAGGTAAACCTTATTTGACAGTATCAAAAGGATGCTTGAGCATCTACTTAGAACTATAAACAATGCAGGTGCTCAATCAACCATGAACACAAATAAGCTAGCTACAAACCATGTCATACTGAATGAATTTCAAATCAATCCAGAATCCACTATGAAATTTAGCCTAATGCTGAATGGAATTCTTATCCAAATGCAAATCTATGGAAGAGTGTTGACTGATAGGGACAACGATTTTTTGTGCCAATTGATAAATGTGGGCATAGCTAGAAACATATCATGACAAAAAAGGTAAAAAATATGTGCAGAACAAAATTTTAATGGTTCTAAATGATAACTTGTCATACACAATATGGAGAACTACAAGATGAGAGAATCATATAGACAATATTAAACAAATAATTGATTTAAGCATTGTCACAAGTAGCATAAAGGCCTTACTCATACAACCAAGAAGAGGAAAATGATATTTATCTTCATCTTTTCCCATAAACAAATATAAAGGTCCATCAGATAAAACCAACCATATAATGGTTATTATGCATTAAATGAAGGTCCACAGTAAAAAGAATATTAATGGAAAGTTCTTGAAGAAACAAGAGGAATGAGTACTTTTCAAGAGGTGATTCTTAAACTCCATTATTGGAAACAGTAGAAAACAGAGAGGTGAGAGAACAGCAGCTTTTAAACAGGTGATTATCAAAACACAGTATAGATATTGTCATTAGAGACAATATTGATTAAAACTCCTAAAAGTTGTTGAAAAATGAAGCATTAAATAAAACAGGGAAAACTGTACTCAATACAATTTAATATGAAACCACAATCTATGAGATCTCACCGGAAATTTTTGGATGTGCTCGGACTTGACACATCATTCACCTTTCCCTGAATCGTCGAGATCTTAGGTGGATTCCTGGAAAGGGAATGAGATACGTGTGAAATAATATGACCATTATTCTCCTGAACACCCTCTGCAGCAGCAGCTACTGCTGCACCATGCGCAACTGCAGCAGCAACAGAGTCAGCAACATAACATCCATCAAGGTTTCCCATAATCCACTCAATGACTCTTTTAACTTCTGCAGCCCGCATCAAATGTGCCTGTATTCACTAAAAGATCATAGATCATATTCAAGTAAACATAAATTATGTTGGAATAACCTACAATAAAAACTAAAAACATGCAGATGTAGACTAACATTTCTAACAACTGCCGGCATATCAAGGCACTTAATTGTGTTATCTTCAAAAATGAAATTCACATGCACCGGTTAACATAATAGAAACAAGAGGATCACAATTAATAAGAAGAAAATAAGCCTTGATCACACATACATATATGCCAATGGGCACATGCATATTTGTTCACACACACTAAACCTGCATTCACGCAAATGCACAGACACAACATGTAATCTTAAACTTTCCATCTCCTACAATACAAGTTCCAACAAGACATCCTCGACAACACGTGTAACAAAAAAAAAGAGTTCTCTGTATATGTTTTTAAAAGAAAGTATATGATCTTTTCTTGTCAGGATTTATTGGGAGAAAAAAAAAGAAGTGGAATCAGGGAAAAAGGATAAGCCATTCCATGAAAAGATGGAAGGAGGAAAGGGTGAAAGATAATGGACAATGTTTAGTAAAATAAGTGTAGAATATCTGTAAAAAAAAACCAAATGATCCAAATGTATTCCTATATTCCTATCAAAGAAACAAGGACCACATACCACCACTTTAAGTCCAAAAACTTAAGGGATAGAGAGTTAGCATCATCAATTTAGTAAATGAAAGAAGTTGGAACACATTAGGAAGAGATGCACACTTAGTTACCCATATATATTATATATTTAACCTATTTGCCCCTGACCGTACATACTACATACAAGAAGCTTCTTTTTTATTGTTTTCTTATTAGGTTAGCTAGCCATCTCTCTCACACACACCCTCTCTTCCCCTTTTCATCAATTCCTCTGCCCCTCAACTTCTCCTCCTCCTACCCTCCCGCCACCCCTGCCCCACCCCCCTCCAAAACAAAAAAACATAAAAAACACCCCCCTCATTATATCATGATGCATACTGGTGTAAAGTGTGTTAGTATGCCAGCATAAACCAGACCCATATTGGTCCAGCTATAGAGGAACAAATCTGATAAGTAAATGTAGAACATTTTTAAACAAAAAATTGAGGTGACAGTATCATTTTAGCCACGAATAGTGCAAATACTGGTGGGAGGGAAGTGAGGTTGACCACATCAAAAGGGGTTAAAATTGTGTTGAAGATGATATTTGACCACGTCAGATGGTGGGTTTTCAATCAAGTGTCTGACATAACAAGTGTTTAAAAAATACATCTTTTTTTAACACTTATAAAAAAATGATAGATTTGACTGTCTTAGCAATTTTAGATCATTTATTTCACTTAGTGGTTAGTATAATATGATTAGTTATCAAGAATGTGACCAATTGACATACAAGTTCACATATCAAATCCTAGCCCAGTTGACATGTTTAACTTGGAAAAGAAATGAACAAGTTGACTGGGGTTTCTACATTAAGTTCAAGATGGTTTGCCAACCTTTTTTTTTCTGAAAGAGGTTAACAACCAATCATAGAACCTAGAATATGTGCTTTTTTAGTAATTAAATGGGTTTAAAACAGTAAAGCAATTGTGTTTATGTCTGCTATAGGATTTGACATGGTAAATATGCAGCCAGGTATACAACTATGAAACAACTGATATTTGGGATGCAAATTGGAGAAGTTACAAATTGTTCTACCTGTACAACTTTGAAAATAGCATTCAAAAGATGAACAAAGCTTTCAGAGGATAGACTCCTCAACTTGCTTGCCAGTGACAAACCTCCACCTGAGTCATAATGCAAGATATAAGATGAATGCAGGAACAAAAGTTATATGATAGATCTTAAGGCTCAAAGATAAAGACAAGGTCAAACCATCTGAATCACCAACACGATCTCCAGTAATCAGATCCGAATCTAAAGGTCGGGATAATAGAACTGGAAGCAAAGCTGCAACTGTAGCTTTTATTGCAGCTTTCATTTCAGTAATAAGTGTATCACGGTACAACCTCAGCACAGCTGGAAGCTTTGCCTGAAATAGAAACCACAATGTTCCTTCAATCATAGACAAGCAACAAAAGTATTTAGATTAATGTGCATATAAGCAGGAGCCAATCAGTAGCAGACAAAGGTGCCTTTAATATTATCATGTCATATTAATACCATCAAAAAATATAAATGTTTATCACTTTATTGATTATTTCGTAAGCAGTTACACAAATCCAAGAGTAAAAAAACAAACTTAAGTGTGAACAGCAGCAAAAGATAATTCTAGAAATACTTTTATAACACTCCTAGATCAACTAACATAAAGATTTACAACAAAGCTATACTGGGGCAGAATCAATGAAGTACATGACCAAATTATAATATAAAAAGGTACAATATTATTTAAATAATTGTTGTCAAAACATAAATATGGTAGAAAACTGTATAAGATGAGCTAGTCAGCGTCTGAACCTAGGCCACCTTTACTGCACAGCAACATAGTTATATTTTGTACACAAGTACTAAGCAAAGACAGATAAGGGCCAGCCACCTATGATTCAGCTAAATCAAGCAGAAGCAGCAGAATACATGTTGTCCATTATAGAACTCATGAATACAACAACAAAAGTTAGCATAACACAGTGTGGTTCATCTTTGATTATAAAGTTATATGAATAAGAAGAACTGACTGTTCTCAATAGACCAATAATCAGAGGGAGAAGACGATCTTGGAGATTCGAGCTTTCATCATCATCTAACTTCACCTGCAGGCAAATGAAACACAAATACATCATATCACAAGGACAATTTATTGTCACCTTGGCATAGGGAAACATAAGGACCTTGAAAATGCTAAATTTTAGGCAAAATGATTTGGCTTATAGCAAGTCTCTGGTATCAGAAATAGTAATAAACAGAGAAAAAAGGTGGCATTTGGTTTTAAGAACAAACAGAAAAATGCACTGCACTGTACTTCTTGCTCTGTGAACAAGTACCACATCTATGCTAATATCAAGATATGCACATTGATTGCCCACGTATGTAGGCATAGTGTCTGTACTAAATAATAGATAAAGCAACTTTAAGAACAAAGATGAGATTCAGTAAAGCCAAGAACTGACATACTTCATCATCCACTCCATTCATGAGATCAGAAGCTCTTGTTCTTAATTTTGATAGAATCATGGAGTCAACACCCTTTGCATCACGTATTGCTGCACGCAAGAATTCTGCCGAAAGAATGCTACAAAATGATATATTATATATCATGTTAAACAACAAGCCCAAGATAATGAAACAAACAACTTTCAATAATTAGCAAATACAAAATGACAAGTCAAGCCCAGTATGACAAGTGGCCATGATGAAGACTCAAAACTTCATTATGACGTTACAAAATAAGTCATTTGTTTAAACTTGCCAATAATGTGAAATCTACCCAACTAACGCTGTGATAAATAGCTTCAAGGATAAAACCGAATAGAAATGGTCTCAGATATAAGAATGATATAACTAGCAAAAGGTAATATAAGACAACAATTCATTATCCGTAGTTAGTGATATGAAATACCAGACATGATATAAATCCCAATGCTAAAAAGATTTACCAACTTTCTCATCTTGAAAACAAATCACACATAACAAATGAAAGTGATCATCTCCATAATAACTCATAAATTATCTCAAGATACATCAAAAAAATTGACACTAATTTCCTTCCATTCCAACCAAAATGTAAAATCAATTCTCTCAAGGATTATTAGACACACAACTAAATTCTGACACATGATTATTGCACAGGAAAGATGCTCCAATTGGAATTTAATGTGAACCCAAAAGGTTGACCATAAATTAATTATAAAACTAGTAATTCAGTTTCCACAAAAATTGTAAAATCCTGAAAAATGCAAGAACAATTGTCAAAGATTTTCCATTTAGTGTTTGCAGTTGCGTGCTAATTAGAATATTATCCCGTCATAATGCTGTCAAATGTGCTGGTCAATTTAGCTCATCAAAGAGGCTTATCACATGTGAAAAGCACATGTAATCTGTTCCATTTAGTTTACACTTTCCAATGCTGCCAAGTATTGAATGTCACATGAAGCATTTTGCTCATCATAGAGCATGCAAATTATAGGTGTACTGAAACTGCTATAATCTCAGTTTTTCTGAATTCAATGATGGTTGACCAAAGCTATAATGAGCTACTAAGCCTAAATAGTTTCTAGAAGTATCCAGAACATGTTCGAGGAAGTGGATTGGAAAGAAAATTAAGATTTAAGTTTTATCTGTTGGTAGAAATAGAAGAAATAACAAGTGACTAAGATGATGTCATACACTTCACCACTTATTTTTAATAGTATTTCTATGCAGTGAGATATAATAATTTCACTGGAGAGCTATTAGCATAAATAATTCTTCAAAAAATAACGAAAAACCCCATGAGGATGGAAACATAAAAACACCATTAAGTGAAAGTAAACCAAAAGAAATACAGTTAGTTCAGAAGATCTATCTTCAAAAAAATTCATAAATACTGTAGCATTTCAATAAACAATTTTCCTTCAAGGACAAATGCATTCTAATTTCAAACTATTGCACACAAAATCAAAGTTTCAGGATATACCTATTTATTGAATCCAAGCCAACTGACAACTGTTCACGAAGATGACGGAAACAATGGAGACCAACAAGCTCATCGGTTTCCTGTTTTGTAAATGAATTACAGCATAAATCAAACAAGGTAAAGATAAAAATTCAATCAAGGTAGTCAGACAAATGTTCACTACAAGATTTTGTAGGCCCAAAACTTCAGCAAGTATTTTAAAAAGATCTAGTTTGCAACGTCAAAACAAATTCGCACATGGCCAGCATGCATGAATCATGTTGTACACGCTACTCCCATGCCATTATGAGGCACTAGCACAAAAAACCAAGATACCACACCATTGGCCAGACCGACAAGGGCCTGGCAAATTACACATCGATATTACAGTGATCTACTTATACTTGCAACACTAGTAATATATTACAAGCACTCTTTTTTCACTAATATTTGTTTACCAGAAAATTACTGGCATACTTCGTAATGGAATCCGTACTGGAGAGTGGAGAGTACACTAAGAAAATTAAGATTATAACACCAGAGTGTTAACCACAGGAATCATAAAGAAATATATGGAAGGCATATTTCTTATAAGTCACAATCTTCACTATCTTATAAAACAATCCATCCATATTTTGAAAGGTTCAGTTGGGCAATAGAGAAAGGTGGCAGTTGTTCATTCTAAATTGGAGATCCAACTGCACTCAAGCTGAAAGGTCCGAAACTTAGGAAGAGTGCTGTTTCAAAACCTAATAATGGAAAATTAACTATTAGTCATCCACCTTCATGCTATAGCTGTATCTGTCCTTTGAAAAAGAAGGAAAGAGAAACCATACTTAGTCGAGAAGGCTTCTCGGAAGTTTAATAGAGTTTTACCTGTTGTTCATTCAACAATAAACCTAGTGTCAATTTTCGAGCCACAAAGTCAGGCAAAAGAGAAAATTGTCGTGACATCCAGAAGGATTAACCGTTTACATGTTAGCTTCCTGTTAGACAGTTCTGGCTCATGCAATGAGATACCTACCCATCACATTTACCCACCTAGCAAAGAGTTCAAGTGGATAAGGAAGATGACATATTACCATTTAGGTGAAATATCCCAATTTGGAAAAGGCACAAAGATATTGCAGACATCAAAATAAAAATCATCTATTTTTCCAAAACAAGTTGCCATAAATGAAAATGTAACTAAGATAAAACACACAATTAAAGAACAAGAAACCAAATCTTACTCATTTACAACAATATGTCCTAGTGTTAAAACTTTGGTTCTATAAAGTAACTGAAACTCTAGCAAATCCCACCAAAAATTTCTGGACTAAACCTAGACCTGCTGACATACCACGTCATGTTACACAGGCACACATGATATCTGTTTTAATAGAAAATCTAGAGGCCCACACAGTATCCTAAATGGTCTACTGCTCTTTTCATGAGAATCTCACTGTAGATAATTTGTCAGATTAATCTAAACAACACAGAGTGGCAGTGTCAAGATTCATCTTCTCAATGGTATTGTACTTACAGGAGCTATCAAATATCAATTACCCATATTTGTTCTACTGCAGAACATTAGACCCTCCCAGCTACACACAAGGCTCCATCAATAGCACAATATTCAATATTAAATCCACGAGTCAACTTTAAATTTCAAAACCAAGGAAAAATTCATAGGATACTAGATGTAATTCAACAGTGCGCATGAAGATAAATGACAAGAGCCAGATAATAGACGTTTTGGAGACAAGTCCAATGAGACAGTGTTAGAGGGATGAATTAGCTCGTATTCCAATTTTTGGGCCCTGAGTGTTAGATTAGTTAGTAGTAATTAATATCAAGTATCTGCATGCAAATCCTGGCATGTAGGCTGCAAGTCAACGGATTAAAATAGAACCAAGTAGTCTGATAGCAATATGTTTATAAGTTGAACTTGTATATATGCAGTAACAGACTGCAGTTAAATTATCTAATTAAGCATATCAGTATAACATAATACTTCTAAAAGAAAAAGAAAAAAAATGTATCACTAAATCAAGAAGTTACCAGCAACTGCTGCAGGTCATCTATTACATCTAAAGCACCAGCACAATCTGCCGCTGCAACAAGCTGCATATGGCCAATTAAATTAAATCATATATTTTCCCACGGAAGATAACAAGTGTAAGATATTAAATTGATAAGAGATAAAATATTGTCTGAATCCAGTTCCCAAAAATAAGTAAATATAGAAAGCTGTATGCAAGTTTGAAGTAGAAATTATTCAGATATCACGGCTTGAACAAAAAATATTGTGGAAAAAACAACAATCACAAAATCTTTGGTCAATTTAAAATCACTTAAATCCAAACTACGTGATACCATCAATCAGCACATGCTTGTGTGGTTTGCAATTTTAAGGCCCATGTGCGGTTATCATTCAGTAGTTTTTCACAAGGCTTGGAGAATCCATACAAAGAAAAAGCAATATGTGGTAAAATTGATATAATCCATCCATTCCTTCCAAGTTAGGAAAAAGTAGCTATCACAAAGTTTTCCAGGTTCCTAACTATAGTGGCACTGCTTATATAATTCACTCATATTCCCTAATATAGACAACAAAAAGACAGAGCAAAAGCTTTAATAAACTGATAGTAATTAATTTGCTTCGATCTCTTTTAAAGAGATTCATTTTTCATGCACCATAGCAGATGAAGTGATAATCTTCCCATATCTAAAGTAAACTAGGTGACTGAGGTACATTAGTTCCACAGCAACACATAAGTTTCAATTAGAGAGAATTTTTTTTCTCTTCTGTATTATTACATTTCGTTTAGATAGGAAACCCTTTATCTACCATGTTACCAGATATCACTGTCTGGAACAAATATCATAAGATTCATAGCTTGTCTTATACATAAATATCAACATTATATAGGTGCTCCCCAAAACACATACAATTATTAAATAATTTGCATATTGAGACATTTTGAAAGATGTTATGCATGTCATACCAAGTAGGCATCACCTATGCCTTAATAGGACATCAATCCACAAGCATAGAGACCACCAAAAAGCATATACAACTGAAATGTCAAGACCTTGTCTACCAACTAACTGATTTATTATTTATCTCACAAATGGCCAAACTTATCTTGTGTGACTGGTCAAATAAAACCTACATAAATGCTAAGGACCTTCCAACTCAAAAAAGAGCAGACACAAAGCAAAGAAAAAGGATGCAGCCAACAACTGTATTTGGACTCCAAAATGTGGAGTACGAACCAAAATTTAATCGGAATGCAAACACAATCATGGATGAGTCTAATATAAAAAATGTGAGTCAGCTTGTCTCTTTGGCTTATAGTTGAGTCTAGACTGTTTTGAATATGTCAGCATTGACAACTTTAGTCTGACATTACATGTTCTGAACGAAGTTACTCCTTTGTTAGTTTAAAGGAAATCTAATCCACCATCATACAATTAAGACCAGCAAAGGAGTAAATCAAGGCATAATGAGATGTCAATAGTACTTACATTGTCTGTAGCTGGAAACAGGAATTTACATCAAACAAAATGTGTCCAAAGTCCTATCTCAAGAAAGAAAGCAGATGGATTTGCTAAAAAAGGGGTCAGGCCATGAAGTGAAAAACGAATCAGGATGCTTCCGGTGTAATATTTATTCCTTTATCCCAGCTTGGCTGCTTTCTTCATTGGACTTGAGAACAATAATCTCAGTTATATGATGAGAAGGGTATCATGTGATTTCCTCTTTTTTAATGTTTTGAACGTTGTTACATCTCTTTCCTCATATCTTCACTACTGCCAAAGAAAACCTTTCCTTGCAGTTTTTTTTTTTACAATGCAAATTACCAGCTTTTATAATCCCAGAGCCGAAACAGCCTTCTTTGTTTTTAGTTTAATTTTTATAGTGCATTTATGCATTTGCATTATAGAAGTGGTTTTAAGCAATTTATAGGAGAGAAAATATGCAGGAGGTGCAAAAAACTGTTGAAAAGGGTTTCATTATCAGATATATGATATTTTGGTATATATCTATTTGATCATTTAACAGCAATTAAACAAGCACAAAGCAGGATGTACCAGTTTTAATGCTCCGAGTGCTTGGCTGACATAGAGTATGACAGTGAGCTTCTGCTGAAGTGCTACAAGGTTTCCTCGCGTGGCATTCAGCTCTTGCACTTTCCTCGCTGATCCCACAAGATCTCCTGTCAGAATCCGGATCGTCTCCTTTAACTCCCGTATCCTCACGCACGCCTCCACGATCTGCCCATTCAACCCCTGAAGCTGCCCCTGGGCCTCGTAGAACGAATCTGACCGCAACGCGATCTCCCTCACCAGATGCATCTCCACCACATCCAGGTACTGCGTCAGCCTCTCCTGGAGCGCGGTGTTCTCCTCGGCCGAAGGCGAGAAGGGGCACGCAGCCTTGAACGTGGCCCCCTCCTCCAACGCGAAATCCTCCTTGAAGAATAGCGACGGCACCTCCCGAAGGCATGCCACCAGGGCCTCCCCCTGCCCCCGGATCTCTCCATCGCCGCTAGCAGCGGCGGCGGCGCTCTCCTTAGATCTATGGTTGAGAATGTCCTCGAACCGGGAGTACGCGTCCGAGACAGAGGCGAGGTATGGGAGAAAGTCGGCGCGGGAGACCTCGGGGAAGGATACGGAGGGGACGATGGGGGCGGCGAGGTCGGGGGCGGCTGCGGAAGCGGAGGGCCACCATAGGGTCCAAGAAACGTCGGAGCGGCCGGCATGGGGGTTGTTGAGGATGGAGGCGAGGCTGTGGCTGACAGCACCGGCACCAGCCGAGGAAAAGGAAGGAGAATCGAGATCGTGCGATGATCTGCCGGAGGCGGAGCTGGAGCGCCCAAAGGAGGACGGATCGCGGAGACGGGCAGGCGGCGCTGCTTCCATCTCGGCAGCGTGCGGAGGGGATTAGGAGGGGAGGGGCATGGGAGATTGCAAACCCTAGGAATCGGAGCGGGGAAGGCCGCGAGATTTGGGCCGATCGGATCGAATTCGAGGATTCGAACAGTGAAGAGATCAGATCTGGAAACAGGGAGGGAGGGGGAGAGTTCTCTACTTCTCGGTTGTTATTCTTAAAAGATGGATGTGGAGACGGGAAGGGGAAGGAGAGACTCGAAGCGGGTGGGGTTCGACGCAGAACGCCGGTTCATGCCACGACTTCCGCTACGACAAAGCTAACATGGCGTGCGTGGGATGAGCAAGCTCGATAACCAGCTTGGGCTAGAAGCGTTTCCGTGCGTCCAACTCACCCACTACTTGGTTCACGACTTAAGACGGATCAGACGTCGCAACGGCGCTTCCAGACGTGGGTAATTCCCAAACCATTTTGTCATGTGCTCAGTCGTAACTCAGGTCGTAGTGCGAAGAATAGCAGGTTGCACGCGGGTTTACGTCCGATCGGGAAGAACCAATCGAGTGCAATTGGCCCAACTAAATTGGTCTGATTGAAGCTGGAGACGATCGATTAAGCTTGTGAGAGAGAGGCGAGCGCTCGTGCCCGAACTCGTGGATTCGACTCAATATCGTAACCAACATTAAATCTTGGGGCTAATTATAGATTATTTTATGTAATTAATTATCTTTAATATCTCTATATTTTTAAGAGTTAGATTCATATACTTACAAAGTAAAACATCAAAATTCTTATATAAATTTTAAAATTAAAATAAAAAAAAAGAGATTTTATTATAACAACGGGTTAAATGTTTCAGTTTGATAAATATAAGAATCTTAATATAATTTTTAAAAATATAAAGATCGAGATACTAAAAATAATTAATTATAAAAGATAATATGTAATTAGTTTTAAAATTTATTATATTTGAAATTTAAAAGATTTCTATTATGGAGTAAAATATGATTCTTGTGAATGGGATGTAGAATGTTGATTGAATCTCAAAGAGTCCTAAAATACTATATTGAAAACATAGCTAATTCGATGCTAAAGTTAGCATTTATTTCTAATAAGGAAGTTATTGTGTAACCATCATGTCATCGAATATAAAAGAGTAAATACCTTAATAAAAAATATTAAATTTAAATATCATATTGATATGACACACCTAATCGACATATTATCCTTTTTGAGTTGATTGGGTTCCATGTGTATCTAACAGCTTTGATTGGCAATAGATAATTATCGTTTCAAAAAGTTGTAACTCGGAAGATATTTGAGAAAGCACTGCCTGCTCTTACCTTTTTGGCGATGCACTGTAACTCCATGCTTTATCTCCTGTCAGCTCCCATGCACGCACTCGTGCTCTCCTGCCCTTCGTCTTCCTCAAGGCAGCCATTAATGATCTCACCGAATGGAGGTCCCATGTTGCAGTTCACTCCATCATTTCACCTTATGGATCGCGTTGTTCTTTTCTGTGGAATGGCTTTGTTTGTCTACCGCAGGTGGATGGAATCATCTGAACAGTATTGGCAAGAACTGGGATGCAGTGAGACCATGCATACTGCTGGGAAGCACATACAAAGGGCAGTCTTCAACTTCCATCTGAGAATTCATGGGATTCACACAGCTCTCACTAAGTTATGAATCGAATATTGGTCAACTCTTTCGGTCATTAGTAATGCGAGACTCACAACACGGCATGTTCTTCGCGAGATGTTTGGAATAATGGAAGACAATTAGTTCACGATCTCAGGAAAAAACAAAGAAGGTTCAGAAAAATGTGGAGTGATGAAGAGATCATAAGCACACAAGTCTATTAACTATTCATCATGATTAAACGATATTTCCCGACAAATTAGTCTCTGTAGATAATTCATTTCATTTAGGTTGTTAATTCCTTGGGAATAGAGACAAGAAAACTGTGTGGGTTATCCTTTCTCTTATCCAATCGAAGAGGATGTGACTGATGCTGATATGGTCATACTCACCATCTCAGGCAGGATCGATGAGCGGCTTCGGATGTAAGTCTCATGCTCGATGTGCTTGGACATATGTGAGTATATTTCCAGAAGAGAGCTGAGAGCACCTCTTCTTCCCACACACGGTCGCAGAAAACATAAGATAGCTAATTAGCTTCGAGAGAACAAGATGAGGAAGAAAAGAAGCACCAAAGACCACAAAAGTTGCTCAGGAGAAGCTGGAGATACATATCAGTACTAAACCCTGCACAATGGTTGTGGGCATGGATGGTCAAGCAGCGTGCAGGAAACCTAGCGAGCTGGGCGGTCATCGAGGATCACCGGGGATCGTTCCAGCACATGAGCATGACGACGCACCGCCGGAGAATGTAGAACCGAGCTCGCTGCTCCCTCACCAGCAAGCGGCACCGCCGGGTGAACGATCGGCAAGGCAAGCTTCCCTCTCTCTTGGCCATCATCCCCAGCAGGTGGTGCCCTCTCTCCCTCTCTCTCTCTCTCTCTTGGTCTACGGCTTCGATGGGTGCATGGCTGCTCTTCGGTTGTGGACTGGTGAGAGCTCTCGCGCCTGGGAGGACATGGGAGCTGCTTTGCTTCCACCACAGTGGCCTTCTCATAATAGAGGGTGGGGGCAGTGGGTGCAGCCGATCACAGTCAGCTATCAGGTGGTGGTTTGGGACATGGATGGGCCCTGGGGCTTTGATTGCTACACACAGCCTTGTCTGACACTCCAGGTGAGGGCACATGGATGTTGCGAGAGAGAGAGAGAGAGAGAGAGAGAGAGAGACGAGGTGCAAGCTGACTCCTGTGGAGAATGATGCATGAGGTGGTGGGAGTGGAGTCTTATGTTCGAAGAATCATGGTGGGCGAGCCTGGAAGCTTGTCTTGCTTGGCTCAGATCCTCATCATCTCAATCAAATTGAAGTTAATGGTTCAATTAGATTTGAATTGGGCATGAATTATAATGGTTTGGATTACAAATTTCACCGAAAAAATTATATGTATTCTTAAAAGAACCAATCACAGACTTAATATATTCTAATCGATAAATTAAAATAAAATAAAATCTTGAATTAATTTATAATAATATATAAATATATTATTATTAACTCTGACTTAAGCATCAATACATATCGATTAGTAGGTTGAAAAAAATTATCATTTAGCACACAAAATAAATATTTGAGTCTATAGAAAATTATCATTTAGCACATAAAATATCATGGTTTGCCTAACCATGTCAAATGTGGTGTTCTACCAAAGTCAAGTTCAAAACATGTATAAATATGAAAAAAAGAAATGTAGGGTTGGGTGTGTTGCAAGAAAAGTCTAATTAGGCCCAATTTTAAGATTACATTCTCTCAAGTAAAAGAGATCCAAAGTTAATGTAATCACCCGTAAACAAGAAAATAATGGTGGAGAGTCATTTTTAGAATTAGATGTGAAGCAGCTTATGGGAATGACAATTTAATTGGATCGGCAACCAATTTATGGGGCAATAATTTATCTAAAAAAGGAGTGCAAAAATTTTATGTTTATTTTTTAATTTTAATAAAATATATGATGTAAATCGATGATGATGACAATAACGAAGACATGCGGTAACAATTTATCTAAAAAATGAGTACAAAAATTATATGTTTATTCTCTCGATTTTAGTAAAATATATTACGTAAATCAATGATGATGATGATGATGATGATAGACCATCGTCGTTGATAGGCCTATTAGCTCATGAAAATTTGATCAAAATAGATGCTAAATGCAAATCAAAAGAAGACTCACATCGTAAGATAATCCAACTAAAAATCTTCTAAAAGTTACATCTTCTCTTTATACACAATTAATTTATTTGAAGACGTGAAATATTTAACTTCATTGCTCCAACAAAACTCCTCTTTTGATTTTTTTAATCTTATAAATTTATCCTTTTAATCCTGTATAGGGATATCAATGTTTCACTTTCGTAAATATATAGATCATAATATAATTTTTAAAAATATAAGAATCGAGATACTAAAGGTAACTAATTATATGGGACAATTTGTAATTAGCTCTAAAGAAACAGGATCTCCTACGACTTAAAAATCTTCTAGCCACCAATTCACCATTTGTCAGAGAAAATATAGTTTAAGAAAAACATATGTCGGAGTCAGTGAAAGCTATGCTTACTCTTGTTCTTGGATGTCTTAACCCTAAATTATCAGCTAATTTAATCTTATGCTAGGTTAGTGCCATTAACGATGGTCCTATGTAGTAGATAGATTTTCTCATCATTGTCTTCACCCTCAAATGATTCTTCCCATCAAATCGATTGAGTCAAGTTGCGGACCATTAAAAGACTTGGTTTGATAGGTCAAGATCGACAAAACCAAGACGATGGACATCTCTTCTGGCCAATATAGCATCCATCGAAAGAAGAGATTGTTAGCTCGAAATCTACATGTAATCGAGTTATCTTTATGGGACCGTCAGCCAATTGTCCGTCTGCCACGTGCTATGATCAGCTGGCTAATCGAGTTCAGATCTAGTGTTAAGTTGACTAAGATATGATAATTAAAGATTCGGATCAGAGTGTTTCATAGATTATAGCGAAAAGAACTTTTTATTGTATTACTACTATATTTGGATGAAAAGGATTATGAATTATGTTGAAACTATGTTAGAATAATAATTATTTTGTGGTACAATTACGAGGAAGGTTGATGAAGTAAAAGTTCATTAGGTTTTGTGTGTAATCTTGAGATAGAATTAGGAAGAAGCACAATGATTTGTTGATTGGAGAGAGGACAAAATTGGTTCTCATAGGCAGAAAAAAGACAGAAAAAACAATGGGAAAAAGGTCAACAAACCTACAAAGGGGCCAAATTAATCAGATTGTACTGCGGTGGGTCCTTCCTCAGGTGGATTGCAGAATCCACCTTTGAGTTCTCTCCAAGCAATCATGCCGCTTCACGAGTGCAATTTGGATTCATGCATGGTCGACATGGAGAATCTTCTTCTTCTTCTTTACTCCCACATCTTGTGATGATCTATCTACACAGAATCGAAGAAGGAAATGCCTCTCTCTCTCTCTCTCTCTCTCTCGCTCGCACACACGTCGATGGCCATGGGTGTTTTTCTTTGCTTACTTGTTTCGAAAGATGTTGAAATGGAGGTCAGGTTATGGTCACCTGATGCCTATGCTGCTCCTTTTTTCTTTGCATTCAAGCTTTCGAGTCCAAGTCATAAAAGGCTTAGCTTTTCTTCTTTTCTCTTTTTCATGTAC